CAGCTTCACTCAGCTCAGAAGAACGTCTCCTCTCCGTCATCTGCAGTAGTACCTTGCGCACGCTTATGGTGCGTTCAAAGACGGCTCAGGAAAACGCATTACCATATGTTAATAATGGATAAAACAGCTGTAACGGCTGAGAAAAGTGCGGGGACATAGAGCACAGATGCAAGAAGTGCGGGGACTCAGGGAGACATGTCTCACGCATATCCCGCATCCGTTATGTCCGTGCCTTCACTGCCCAGGGCCCTTTGGAGACCGTGGGCCCCTGGGCAATTGCCCAATTGCCCATATGGTTAATCCGGCCTTGGGTGAGACCATGTGAGGCCAGGTGAGGAAAGGTGAGGTCAGGTGAGACCAGGTGAGGTCAGTTGAGGCCGGGTGAGGACAGGTGAGGCCAGGTGAGGTCAGGTGAGAACAGGTGAGGCCAGGTGAGGTCAGGTGAGGTCAGGTGAGACATGTGAGGACAGGTGAGACCAGGTGAGGTCAGGTGAGGACAGGTGAGGTCAGTTGAGGACAGGTGAGGACAGGTGAGGTCAGTTGAGGACGGGTGAGGTCAGGTGAGACCAGCTGAGGTCAGGTGGGACCAGGTGAGGTCAGGTGAGGACAGGTGAGGTCAGGTGAGACCAGCTGAGGTCAGGTGGGACCAGCTGAGGTCAGGTGGGACCAGGTGAGGCCAGGTGAGGACAGGTGAGGTCAGGTGAGGACAGGTGAGGACACGTGGGACCAGGTGAGGTCAGGTGAGGTCAGGTGAGGACAGGTGAGACCAGGTGAGGTCAGGTGAGACCAGGTGAGGACAGGTGAGACCAAGTGAGGTCAGGTGAGACCAGGAGAGGTCAGGTGAGACCAGGTGAGGTCAGGTGAGGACATGTGAGGTCAGGTGAGGACAGGTGAGGTCAGGTGATACCAGGTGAGGACAGGTGAGGACAGGTGAGATCAGGTGAGGTCAGTTGAGACCAGGTGAGGACAGGTGAGACCAGGTGAGGTCAGGTGAGGACAGGTGAGGTCAGGTGAGGTCAGGTGGTGAGGACAGGTGAGACTAGGTGAGGTCAGGTGAGACCAGGTGAGGACAGGTGAGACCAGGTGAGGTCAGGTGAGGCCAGGTGAGGTCAGATGAGGCCAGGGGAGGACAGGTGAGACCAGGTGAGGCCAGGTGAGGCCAGGTGAGGACAGGTGAGGTCAGGTGAGGTCAGGTGAGGCCAGCTGAGGTCAGGTGAGACCAGGTGAGGACAGGTGAGAACAGGTGAGGCCAGGTGAGAACAGGTGAGGTCAGATGAGACCAGATGAGGACAGGTGAGGTCAGGTGAGAACAGGTGAGAGCACGTGAGGTCAGGTGAGACCAGATGAGGACAGGTGAGGTCAGGTGAGGTCAGGTGAGACCAGGTGAGGTCAGGTGAGGTCAGGTGAGGTCAGGTGAGACCAGGTGAGGTCAGGTGAGGCCAGGTGAGGACAGGTGAGGCCAGGGGAGGACAGGTGAGGTCAGGTGAGGCCAGGTGAGGTCAGGTGAGACCAGGTGAGGACATGTGAGACCAGGTGAGGTCAGGTGAGGACAGGATGACTCACCTGAATGTTTTGTACGGTGTGATGAGCTCAAAGCTTCGGTGCTTTCCGTCTCGGATCGTCGCTCCTCGAGCCTCTATGACGGTGATCCCGATTCCGTTACGGAAACACTGGGGAGAACAAACTTAATACTTCCTGTTTTAGTTGAGTCACTTCCTGTCCGCCTTTAGGCACCACCTGTCTCACCTGTTCACTCTTGTAAAGCCAGATCTGGTCGGTGTTGATGGCGGCGTACACTTTGGACTTGGTCCCCTTCAGTTCCAGGGCGCCGTGTCTCTGACAGTGAGACCCGGGTCCAAACCGGTGGCGCCCGAACACCAGCTGGTCCCGGACGTGCTCCTGCAGCGTGGACACCCAGCGCCGCTTCAGGCCTGCGGCGAGACACACGGAGGGGGCGGGGCCATCTTCTTTAACTTGTGCTCGTTAAATAAAGTTTCAGACAAACAAACGTGTGATTTCACCTTCGTTCTCCGTCCGAAACACAAAAATTCGGTGACTCGTCACGATTTCAAACTTGTTGTCCTTGGCTGGGCGGGCCATCTGCATGGCAGCCAATGGGATGACTCCTTTAGGGTAGACGTCCTGAAGGAACACAGAGGTCAAAGTTCAAACGCTGCCAGGCCAGATTCAGTTTATTTATCATTAAGAATGTAGGTGTTTGCTCCTGTCGACCTTCTCACTGCCAAAATACATCAGGTTCTTTCCATCGAACTTCACAAAACGCTTCTGGAAGACGTAGTTCCTGAAACAGAAAAACATCTGTCACATGATCACAGCTGCAGGAAACATCACCTTTAATAAAAAAAAAACATTGAATTATTAGAACCGTTCTCATCTGAAGGTCAGAGAAACATTTTCACAAGCAGGTCCAGACTGAAGAGGAAGATGAAACACACCGAGAGGAGGAAGAGAAGGAGGAAGAGGAGGACAAGAAGGTGACGAGGCAGAGGCAGCTCTTTAGACGGGAGGAGATAAAAGGAGAAACAAAGAGGAGGAGACGCAGCCGCCCAGCCGGAGCTGACCTCTGACCCCTGAAGAAAAAATACAAACCTCTGGTTAACCAGGTGTATAAATCAAACGCACCTGATTTTATCAGTCTAACACGCTGCAGTGTAACCAGGTGTATAAATCAAACGCACTTGATTTTATCAGTCTAAAATGCTGCAGTGTAACCAGGTGTATAAATCAAACGCACCTGATTTTATCAGTCTAACACGCTGCAGTGTAACCAGGTTTATAAATCAAATGCACA